GTGGTGAGATGCATTGGTCCCCAGCCCCTCCTCTCCCCTAACTCTGGCAGGCACCAAGGAGTGCCCCCCGCCAAGCCCCTGCCCCTGAAGCTGCCTGAGGGGCGACCACCCCAGGAACAAGGCAAGGATGCTCTCTGGCATCAACCTGGACTAAGCAGAGCACAGAACAGGCCACAAAAGCTAGGGGCTCAAGGCTGCCCACACACAAATTCAAGCCCCAAACTGCCAGACAGGCTGATTTCATCGGTGCTTTTTTATAACCAGATTATTGCTTGGTTAATTCATGCGGGTTCAACTGAAAGACCCCAAAAGACCCAAGAAATATTGTAGGAATAAGCAACAGGATGAAAATATTTCAACTTTGACTTATACTAGGAGAGATGGAGGTAATTAATTACATCTTTGGTTTTTTAATTTATATGTACCATTACTGATTTGTAAGTGCTGTTTTTCGATGGGGAATGGCTGAAGTAGCATGTGAAGTCTGACTGGATTCCAGAATAACAAAAGCAATTGTTTTTCCCTTGTTCTTGTGTTTTATATATTGACTACACGTACACATTCTTGGCACACACCACAGTTTTTACAGTGCAAAAATTTTAATGCAATTAGAAAAATAAACAATTTCAAATGACAGGAACAAATTAAAGGAATGGCTGGAAGGTACAATCACAAATAGGTTAGTACTTTTCATTCAGAGTGAAGTACCTCAGGAAAAATGATTGTCTAGCAGCTTTTGAATCATTCTGTCCGGTGTTTCAAGTATCTTGGCCATTTCTAGCTGTAGTTTGAATTATTTTATTTGTATAACTGTGTATAAACTTTTTTTTTTTGGCTATACTTGGGTGAAATAACAGAAGAGAGAAGTGTTGTTTAATTTTTTCTTTGTTATTCCAGGCATCAGAAAACCCTGGTCACCCCTGCTTTCACATATTTCATTTTACAGTGAAGCTGGGATATTAAGTCAACCAACTTACATATTTTGTTGCAAGTAAAATATAACAAAGCAAGGGCTAACTTGTGGCCCTTTACAGATCAGTGGTAGAAAAGGTGTGGAAAGCTATTTGGAGCTCCCCTGCTCTCCCCTGTTAACACATGCATGTTTCCTTAAGGAAGTGGTGATTACACCTTGTTGTTGGCAGTGCGAAGCTTAGTAAATCTTTACATTTTCACTATGGAAGAAGGGAATTTCCTCTTACTTCTGTGGGCAGCCAGCCAGTGAAAGGTGATGGGAAATACATGACATCCTGTTCTGCCTACCTTTCATCTTTCCTGTTCACAGACACGTTTTGAGCCTGACATGCAGGTGTAATTAAAAACAGGTTGATGCCATGCACAGCTCAGCAGATGCATGAAAAATTAGTACCTGCTGTGAATCTGAGTACATTGGCTTTTATGAAACAGCCAAGCATTTGCAAATTGTCTCTTGTAACTGCAATAATATCAACATAAGAATAAAGTGGATCATGTGGCTTTCACTAACATGGGTTGGCTCAATGGCGAACTTTTCTCAGCAGTACTCAAAGTAATGTAGTACTAACTAATCATGCTGATGTTTTTCAGAGAAGTTAATAGCATTGCACTGGTATGTTTCATACTTGGAAAAAACCAACATCTTTTCCTACATTTCCTGGGCATGCTGCTCACCTAGGCAGCAATGCAGCACCTGCATTTTCCAGCTGGCCACTGCTGTGCACTGGGGCTTTAAGGCTGGAAAGGGCTGGTGTGCTGGTTGTCCTCCTTTGCCATGGTCTTTAAAAGATGCCTCTGAGGAGGATGCAGCTCTCCAGACTACTCACTGGAGGCACATACTTGGCATGCCTAATGCAGCTGCCATACCTTCTCTTTTCTAAGGGACCCAAAATAGGAGAGGGAGATGCAGGCAGGAGGTGCTTGCTCTGCAAGCTACCTTGCCCTGCCCTGAGTGATGAGAGACTATTGCCAGGAGGGGATTCTAGGTGGGGACACACCAGAGGTGGCAGAGAACAGAAGCTGGGGCCATAAAAACTGATGGCAGCAGAGCTTTCAACTGCAGTGCTTCACGTACATGCCATGACGGCTCCTCCCTGGCAACTGGCACCAAGAAAAACACAGTTAAAAAAAGATCCATCTCTTGTCATATGCCTCACCAGCAGTTCAGGCAGGTTTTGTTGCTTTCAACACTGGGGCAATGTTGGTTACTAAAATTCGCTCTGCTTTAGTTTACTGATCCCGGACCATGAGTAGGAGCAGTCATTCACCTCAGATGAGTGCAGCATCGTAAATCTGTTCAGCTGCACATTTTAGCTCTGTGGTGTCAGACAGGCATAATTAGAGCTCCAGAGTCCAAGTGCCACCACGCTAGTCTTACAGCAGTGCAATTGCCCACGCTTTACGTGAGTCATCTGGTGGGAGAGGAGAATCAGGCCCAACATGTCTGGGCTGAAGCAATGATTTAATCAAACTGCTCCTTCCAGCTCTGACAAGTGTCTTTTTATGCTTCATGGTGTTTGGTTTGAAGTTGCCAGTTGGAATTTTTCACACCTGTGGTTTATTTAAGCCTTATTCTGCTGTAGCTCTCACATTTAAGACAATAAATGTGTCCTGTAGAGCTGTGAAGTATTAGGTGAGGGAGACATTTATGTGCAGGTGACAAGAATAAATGAATGCTACATTTGCTATTACTTTCCAAATACAGACAACTGCTACCCACGACCTCTCAACTCAGAAAACTGCTGTTAAATGCAGTGAGGAGTGCCTGGCTGAGTCCTCAAAGTATTCAGTGTGTGCACTCTGGCCATTCATGCAAGTAAAATTTTCATACCATACATAAATATTCCCAAGAATGATCACATGGGGTGATGGTGTTCATCAGGCACATTTAATGAGAGAAAAGGAGTGACTTCAATTTAATGTCATCACACCTGAGGCAAAAATTTACTTAGCAGAAAGGAAATTGGAAAATATTTAAAGAATAAAAATTCCAAAACCAAACAAGAAGCCTCCACTGGAAAACAAACGAACAAACAAACAGAAAAGGCAGGAAATGCAAGCAGATACAATATAGGAGGACATTACCATATTTGAAAAAGTGGAGTTACAAAATAACTTAAAATAATTTCAGACAGTAGAGATGGTACAGTGGGTTTATCAAGATTTTCATCTACAGGTAAGCAGACAAGGAATTTTTTTAGGCATTAGAAATTATTGGAGTTTGTTAATAATTCATTTTCAAAAATCGTGGCTTCCTCCAGAAGTTTCAGGTTAACCAAGGAATAAGCAACTGTATCTATATGAAATTACCTCTCCAGACACAGTAGAGCTTCCATAGTCATGGGCAGCAAGAGCCTAACATATCCAACTTTCATTTTCAGCCATAACAATTCAAACCAACTTCAAAAAATAAAATAAATTAAAAAAAAGCAACCAACATGTTATATATTATCTTGTTATAGCATATTCATTTAAGGCATTTTATTCAGAACAGCCATGGTTCCTACCACTTTCCATCAGTGTCCCACTCATCTCACTTGCACTATTAAGATAAATGCTTTTTAGATGCACGTGGTTGAACCTTGCATTTAAACAGGCTGTAATCTCCATGGCCAGAGATACCATGAATAATTGAAATACCAGAGAATAAATAGTTTCACTAACCATGTTTTGCCTTAAATAATCAGAGCACCTGGTAGATCCACATACAGTTAATTAATTTGCTGTTTGTTTGCTCCATTGCATAATTAACTATTTAACTTCATTGCCCTCTGGATTTGCCCACTAATTAATTATCCCTTGCTAATTAATCGATCACCTGCTTGTGCCTCTTCTTGGTTTTCTAGCCACCATGTTTGCCTTCTAATTTATTGTATCAGCCCTCCTCCCTTTTCCTTATATTCCCAATTTCCATTCCTCTTTCTTGTCTTTCTCTGCTGTTGCACACTCACCTGCCTCACCACTGGGCCAGCCTAGCCTCTGTTAGGGCACAACAGCCACCCCCAGGCACAGTGGAAGTGGCTGGGCACCACAATCAGGTGTTGGAGAGACTGGGGACCTTGCTGGTAGGGAAAAAGTTATTTGAGGTGTAATGGGCCCTGGAGACAGTACTGTCCTGGTTACAAATAGTTCATTTCCAGTTATTAAGGCAAACATAGCAGGACTGGGGAGACACGATTTAGGACAAACACAGCTTGCAGCTGTTTGAAATAGGAAGGATTTAATGACTTAGGGACTTGCTGTCCCTAAGACAGAAACTGCTCACTGGTTGTTGTCTTAAACCTACTGTTAATGTTTCGTGGCATCCTGCAGGTTGCCGAAAACAGTGCTGTATGCACAATATAACCAAAATTAGCTAGGAGATTAGATCTTGTGGGTACAACCAAAACTTTACAGTCTTAAATAAATAACTAATGCCTAGAATACAGATTTGTTTCCTCTCCACTAAGAACCAGTGTGCTCCTTGTGCAATCTGGGCTCACTTAATTCTCCCAAAAGTCTTTAAAGCTACACCTACTAAGCATTTTGGATATTTTTTTCTCACAAACTGATTTTGTGAACTTGCTGCAACCCGTTCAGTCAGTGAGGTTTAGGAGTGCGATGGTGACTCTGAATTCAGTCTTCTAATGTTAGACTCCCATTATCTAAGTATAGCCAATACGTTTTATTTCTGTGAAAGCTTGTTTGGATTTCCGTCTGCTCCGCTCTCTTCTGGTTAAGATTTCTCATCTGAATGCTGTCCAGAATCCGGTGCTTACGCTACCATTCACCATATCACTTTTTGCTAATTGCTCCCATATTCGGAGGAGTCACATGTGCCAAATTGCTGAATTGTGACTACGCTTTCAGGCAGCTACTAGCACCTCCCCAAAGAGGCAATTAAAACTCCAAACAGTGCAGGGGCAGGAAAATTGCCCGTGAGAGGCTCTGGGGGTCATCCAGCATTCCTTCAGAAATGTACTTTCTGTGTGTTTGACCTTTGTAAAAGAGGGGATATTTTTACTGTGAATTTTTTGTCTTTCTTTCAGCAGACTGAAAGGCTGTTTCAAATGATCACCACTTGAGATGATCAGGAAACGTTCAGCTTGACTGATGGCATGAGAGTAGCAGTTCTGCCCTGACATTGGTTCGGTGAAGGACTGAAGTAGGCTTTTCATTTTATGCATGTGAGGAACGCTGCTGACCTCAGCAGGACTGCGCATGCCTTCAGAGGTAAGTATGTAATCACATGTCTTGATGAATTAATTTATTTTCCTTGAGATTGCTCCTGCAGGTTGATATCACTCTTGGAAAGGGAGCTTAGACAACCAGATCACAAAGGCTCTGGAACACAGAGCAGTGGGACCTGGTTGCTGCTAAAATCTCGTCCTAATTATGGACCCTGCTTTCACAAAACATTGACATGATAGAGCTTTTTGTTCCTATTACCAAATAAAAGGAACAAAATCCCTTAATTCAGTATTCTAGGTAACAACAGGTGAATGTAGCAGGACTAAGGCAGATGATATTTCTGGAAACACAAAGAACTTCCTGTGACTGAAGGATCATCATTAAAAGTAGTAAGAATGGATTTTTTTAAAAATTAGTGCAAACTATTGGGTCATACAGGAATTCATTTGGCTTATATATAACAGAGGAACTGGTGGGAAGAAAGGGGAAAAAAAAGCTTTCTGCCCTGTGGTGATGAGAATCACAGAATAACTCCACCTCCAGTCCTGCATGTCCTCAGTGATCTGGGGAAAGTGTCTCTGAGCCCCAGAGCATCCAGGCTGGGTTTTGTTTCCTTTCACCCTCCAGAGGAGCCTTCTCTGGCTATGGAGGAAGCCTAGACAACAAAACTTAAGGTGTTCATTTGCCTTAAATGTGCACTGAAAGCATCTCCATATGAAGCTTCACTCATGTTACACCTGGACATGTGTTTTTGGACATGTGTCTTCCATTTGAAAACCAGAAGGCTTAAAAATGCTTCTGTGTCTTTGGAGGGGGGAAGGGGAGGGAAGGGACAGAGGATGCAGCTTTTCTAGCATCAAGGTCCTTGAACCAGTCCTGCAGTGGTGTCAAGTATCTGTTTCTTTCTCAAGAGCTCATTTTTATGTTGCATTATATTTACCCAATTGCGTTCCTACACACAGGGAGCAGCTCAGACCTGGCAGCAGCCATATCTAAGATGAATTGTTCAGTGCTGGGTAAAGAGTACAATAAAACCCCAACAGCTCTTGGTACTCTAGTTTGCACCTTGGCAAAATAAGTGTGTCCATTCACCCTGGAGGTGGGACCAGCAATAGAAAGTCTTTCCATAAAGATGAAGAAAACCTTCAGGAAAATGGGGAAAGGCTGTTTTTCAGCCAAAGTAGTCCACTTCTCCATTTTGAGAACCTGTAAGAGGGAGGACAGCACGAGCATGTGGTGACTGACGGCAAAGGTGAAGAACACCTATGGCAGCAGCAATGGTCCCTGCTTGCCAGACAGCAGCTACAGGCTGTCCCCAGGCATCTCCCCCTCAGTGGACCACCGAAATCCCCAAATAAGAGGTCAAGCCAGGGTGGCTGATGTGAGATGAAGAAGTGCAGGTGTGCAGTTGCCCCAGCAAGGCCAGCCTGCCCCAGGCTGCGCATGGTGCCATGGCCTCAGCACAGCCCCAGGGCAGCAGGGAGGGATTAGTTACACCTGAGGTTTGCACGTCATTCTCAGAGGGCTAGGAATAACATCTTTTGCAGATTCAGCTCAAATCTGCCAAATACTTGAGCTCGTTTTTTGTCTCCAGGACTGGTTTGCTGGTGGCAGGATTGAGAGGAACAGGAGTGTTCGCGTGCTCCACCTCCAAAATGGGGGCTCCATGGTGTGTCTGCTGGGAGCTGCTGCCGTCGCCGCGGCTGATCCCTTTCGCCTCCGCCAGCCCTGTGGAGGAAATGTCGAGGAGCGAGGAACAAGTGCAGATTTGTCTGGTTCAGTGGCTTTGAGACAGCACCTGGCAATGTAGTGTGGAGACAGACATGAGCCTTCAAAAAAAGTTGGCTCTGGCCCATGGAGAGTGCTGGGTCAGAGGGTAGAGGGTCCAAGGGTCCGAGTGGTGGGTACTTTCCTGAACGGATGTTTCTGGTGTAAGGGGAACGTGGCAGAAAACAGTTTTGTTTTAAATCACTTAAAGATATATTTTCCGGGGGAAATAGTTCCAGAGAGTGTTGCCTTCAGATCGTTTGAAGAGGGGAGGTCTGTCACGCAGGCAGAGGGTGATGCCGTGTGTTGTTCCTCCCTGGTTTCTGACAGATTTCTTCCTTTGCCCCGACTCTTGCTGTCCCCCAATCTTGCTTTTCCCCACCTCTCCCTGCCGATTCCTTCCTCTTCTGCCACTTCGTTCCATCCGATCGAGGCAGGTGGATTTCTGAACTTTCCAGGAGAAAATGGCTGCTGGCAGGAGGCCAGGGACCTCCCTCACCTCTGGCTGCACTCAGACCCCATCAAGTCTGTGGTGGTGGTGGGAGGGGGCCAGGGGGAAGCAGCCAAGTGAAATGCTTCAAGCTGTGAGGCATTTTCTGTTTACGTTGCAGGCCAAACCCCTTGGATTTGGACCAGAATGGCCACTTTTGTGGAGGCAGATATATCTGTGGAGAGAAGGAAAGTAGCACATATCCTGGTCATGCCTTTTTTTTTTTTTTTTTTTTTTTTTTTTTTTCCCAGGGAAAACAATAATAAGCAGTAACACTCTTTCTGCTGCAGGCTGTACGCTATCCTGCAATGGCTGGGAAAGCTGGCATTGTCCCGTAAATAAGGAGCAGCTCTTGGATGCAAAAAGTCACCTCTGTGCAAATTTCACGCTGCTTCAGGTCTTCCTTTTGGGGGGCAGATTCCTCAGAAGGAAGTAAGAAGGCAAGCCCGGTGTCATGTGGAATAGCTGAAATTCCTCAAGTTCCTTTTTGCCAGGATTTCAAGCTGTGAAAGACACATGATCTCCACTGCTCGAGCCTGTAACTGAGGATTTTCCCCAACAAAGATGAATAGGTAGCTGTACAATTTTTATTTTATTTTCTTTTCCTACATCTGCCAAAAGCCATAGTAGATTGTGAGTTAAATCATTATCAGGGCCTGCATTTGGAAGCAGAAACCTCAGATGGGGCTTATCAAAAGGAATATGTTACTCCTTAGCCTCAGGAACTGATCTGGCCTACGGTTGCTTTTAGAGAAAAATACAATTAATTTGAATTCTGGCTCATTTTCTGCCATTCACGTGTCACAGCACTCCTTGAAACTGCAGGTTGGGGTCTAGTGGCCTCAAACCCGTTATTGCTGTATTTGGTCTCAGTCAGGGGCCAGTAACAAGCTGTATCTATAAATCTCTCTTGTATGTCTGTAGCAGGAGTGGCTGCCTGTTTTCGTACTGATAGGTAATGAAGTTTAAGTACTGAACAGCTTCATGCTGAGATTTGCTGATTCATCAGGAGTCTATGAGATGGGTGAAAGGAGAAGCTTCACTCCTTGCTACACCAGTGATTTGCTAATTGTCCAGCCCAGTCCATCACCCGATTAACCAAAGAGGCACTGCCATTTTGGGAGAGGAGAGGACTGTCAATAAACTGTGAAAAGGAGTGTTGAAACTGCCTCTTAAATAAAGTTAGAGATCAACAGCCTTTGGGGAGGGGGTAAGAAGATTTGAATTTGAAAAAAAACAACTGTAAGATGCACTGAAGGAACACAGTGTAAATAAAGGTTAGCATGTTTTACCAAGAAGACCCAATGACTGATCTCCTTGAAAGAAAACTAAGTATAATTTGCTTTCATTTGCCTGTCACCCATGGTTATATAAACCTTTGCAATTCTTGTTATCCCATTTTTTTTTTTCAAATAAGTATCTTTACTGAACTTAAGATCAGAGTTAATTTCTGGATAATTAGCTAACAACGACATTTCATGTAGGAATCCTTCTCACGTGTGTCTAGAGCACTCAGACAAAGAGCCAACACCTCTGAGAGTTTTTCTGTGGTATCCAAGGTCTCCACTTTATATGCCTCTGCTTCCCAGGTGGGCTTGAGAGCTGGTATTACAGGAAAGAGAGGGGAAGAAGTTATTTCTTGGTGACCCCATGCTAATCCAGAAACACTGCAGGGCAATAAGAAATGAGGTTACGTCTACAGAAAGTTTGCCACAGATTTCACGTGGGGCCAGGATTTTACCCATGGTCTGTCCAGCTCTTGTCTGGCTTGTGGACTGGGTGCTTTTGGAGCATGTTTGCCCAGCATGAATGACTGAGTCAGCAATATGTTGTTGCCAGCTCAGCCATGGTGGCTGCCTGGGAATGCAGGCTGAGCCACTTGCCTGGGTAAAAATAGGACAGGTTAAAAGCAAAAGGTACGATGATGCTAACACAGGTTATTTCATTTTTAACGATAGCTTTGAATGTAGCCAATTACTGCAAGTGAAAAGCAAATTTGTCACCTCCATTTGACTTTTTTTTTCTTCTAATGCAGATATGTACACCTTTGTGTTATTGCCTTAGTTTTGGAGATGAGAAAGGAGAACAGAGAAGGAATGTCACTTGTCCCTGATGATACAGCCATTGTCAGACCCATGAGGGGGGCTCTGAAATGCCTTGCTCTTAGTCTTGTTCTCATTCCTCTGGGTTACAAAGACATGACAGATACAGTACATGTTCTGTTCTTACACTCTGCATAGCAAAATCAGACAATTAGGAAGACTCTTTGAACACAAAGACTGAAGACAGAGTAAGCCAGACATATACTTTCTGCTGTTTTCTTTGTTTTTTAATGAAAAAAGTGTTTATTTAAACTCTGAGATAAATCCTGTTTATCTGTCACCAGGTTAAATCTGATTTGATTTCCCCAGTTCTCTGTAAAGGCACTTTTTTTCTTCTCAGCTTGTATTACATTGGATAACAGTAGAATCACCATCACATAATGTTAGTCTAAAAATACATGTACCATTATTATTATCAAATAGATACGTGTGCATTGCCAAGTAAAAAGAAAGCTGTGAAATATTATGCCTTGTACAAGTATTTTTTTCATGATCTTCCAGAACATGAAGGATAGACATGGGCTGCCAGATACTCAGTCCTGAAGGATAAATGCAACTGTGGTTTCCATAGCTATGCAAGGCTTTCTATAGCACCCATCACCATGGTATCTAAGCATCTGTTGCTGCTGCTACTGCACACTTTAGTCTATGGTGTACTGAAGAGAATTAACTGAAATAAATAAATAGAAGGTCCTTGAGTCTGGCCATCCTTAGTGTGGAGTGACTTGGGCCAGGTTCGCTTTTCAAAAGCGATTGTTAGTTTGTGTTTTCACAACTCCCCACTTGTTAAGCTTCTTGTTTTCGTGAGACCTTACTGTAAGGGCATCTCTTGTGTTATAGTTCAGTGGCTTGGCTGGTGCCTCTTCCACAGCCCTGGGCACACAGCTGTTCAGGACATGACCACTGGGCACGATGGAGACCACGAACAAGATTCTCAGCTATGTACCAAGCCAGGCTGCTCCATTCAATCTCACCACCTTCTTCAGGATCCAAATTCTACCCACTTCTTTTGCTATATACTGGACAAGTTTTCTGGCAGAGTGGTCACAAGCATACACTTCTTCCTCTGAGAGGATGATCATTCTGTTTAAAGGGAAGCATGTCTTTGGACATGTTGAAGCAATGCAATGCTGATGAAATATTCGTAAAGTGATAAGGTATCAAAGCTCAGAGAGACCCACCATGCAAAGCCACTGGAAATACATGCATACAATTTTGTGTTTGGCATCAGTTTTAGAGGTTTTATTTTCTGGTCTTTCTAGCTGAAGACCTGCTATGCAATCATAGGCTTTTGTCCTGTCTGCGCTACAGGAACTCTACGTCTTGGGAATTCAATTTTCCCTTTGCAGTTGAGATCTTTCTTTGGAGATTTATTCAGATTTTTCTTCTGTCCAGAAGATTTCCTTTATCTTTAATCAGGGAGGTTTAGGTCCCTGATTTAGGTCTCTCTTTTACCAGACCATTGTTTTTCCTATCCATTTTAACAACACAAATATTTCTTGGGGATGGTCTGATGCAGTTTTTATTGGCTCCAATATTAAATAACTGGTGTGCTATCTCATCCTTGGCTATATTCTGTGATGATGCAGATGCTCTCTGTACTTGGAAAGCAGCATCTGAACTCAGAGCAAAATCTTCCTTTAATGCAATCCGTACGTTGTATGAGAACATGTACATTGACAACTCTACTTTATGCATTTGTATAAAAGAACCAAGGGTGCAAGCTTGTAACTCAGCTTTGCCTGAAACCAGAAACAAGAGTAACTAAAAATTTTGAGGCAGTAGCAGGGCCTGAAGTAACCTGGTCCACAGGTCGTTCTCTCAGAGAGATTTAATACAGCTCTGCATGAAAATGCCAAGGCATACAGTGTACATCATTGTCCTTGTATAGCACTGGGACAGAGGCAAGAAGCCCTTCCTCAGGTCACAATTTCACAGATGGTTTCAGACTGCACAAACAAGCACTGCTACTAGTGAAGCAGTCCCACTATTCTGCAGTGCCTCTTCCTTCCCTCCCCACCCTTCTTTTGCTTGAGCTTGGCACAAACCTTTGCACCAAAGCAGTTCAGAGAAGTGACAAAGTCAAAACTAACTCATACAGATGCTTCACTCTAAATCTGCCCAGTACCCTGCTCCAGTTCATGGCACAGCACTTGTGCTTAAGGAAGGAGATGGCATTGGGTAAAAAACTCACAGCTGGGAGTGGGTAGCATAATTTCTCCTGACATGAGCCCTGGCTAATTCCTGGCATTAAGGAAGGGTTAACTAGCTTGTGAGTGCTAAAACAGGTAGGGTACTGACCCCACTAATTGCTGAGACAGCTCAGGTGTTTCCTCATTACACTCTGTTTTGTGAATCCATCTTACTGTGGATCTGTCACATTACCTGTCTTGAGTCGCAGTGCTCCAGTCTTTTCATCCACGGCTTGCAAATTAGCTGCAGGACTTCAGGGGATGGTTCCTTAGCCAGCCTTTTCAGAAGGGTCTCCATTTTAGTGGGGGGAAATTACAGCAGGCGTTTGTAGTTCCAGGTTTCTTAGCTGACCTATTTCCTCTAGTTTTCTCAGCACATTGTCACTGGTTAAATAAAGTCTCATTAGGAGAGCTGGCCCCTTTTTCTGATTGCAACATTCAATTTTGTATTCACGGGTTCCTTTACTGTTTTCCTCAGTTCCTAAAAAAAAATCTGGCTGAATTTGGGGCAGGGAAGGGAATTCTGAAATGCTCCTTCCTTAGTGTGCACTAGCAAATATTGTAAAAATCAGATTCTAAAACTTCCCATAAACTCAGATGTTTTGAGAAAAGCCTGGAGCCTCTGCTCACAGTGAAGTGGGTGGATGTCCTGCAAGAGCAGCAATTACTGTACAATAAAGCAGTCAACATGTCTTGTGTAATTAGCCTGAGTCTTTATTATAAGAAAATCTACAGAGCTGACAGATCAGGCCAAGAAAGCCACCCTACTCCACACACACATGAGCAGACATGAGGGCTAAGAGGATGCACCAAAATAACACCCCTCAGCTCCAGCTGAAAGCACCCTCCCTTTTCTTTCACCGAGCACCC